TAGCAAGAACGCTACTAGTAGCTCCTGGCATTACTACTAGGAGCAAGAATGCAAATAAGGTAGGGGCCATCGCTAGTGTTGTGCCAACATCACCATAACCCGCGAAAGCCTCCATATCGTATTGACCTCTTGCTGCCATCAGTCCATTTGACTGAAGCTATTCTATGCCATCTTGGAAGAGTCTTACTGAAAATCATCTTTATTTGGCTCCATTTCTATTAGGTTGGAGGCCATCGCTACTAGGTTGGCTCCGTCCTCGGCTTGCAAGGACTTCAACGCTGCCTTTGTCACCATGTCCACCAATTCGGGCGCCTTCAAGGGCCGGGTGGTCCGATGGTTTCACCGTTTCCATCTTTAGGACAGAACCCTGAAGGTAAACCTGGTGCAAAGCAATGCAAAGCATACACAGCTAGCACTGCAACAAGTTTTGGTTGAGGGAGTTTGAGGGAGCAGTTCAAGACCCGCTGATTGCTAGCAGAAACACATTGGAATCACTCGAAATCCACTTTGCGCCAACAAGGCCTCCTTGTAGAGCGGGATCTTCGGATGAAATCCTTCAGCATGGAGAGTCTTGTAGCCTAACCTTTTGCAGGAATCAAACTTTTCACATCTTCACTCTCACTTTAAGGTACCCGTCTTAGTCTAAGTGCCTTCATCTGCCACTTTTGTCAAACGCTCCCTCATCTCTACATCATTCCCTAGAGCAGCTCTTGTCTGAAAGCTTCTTGGCAGCTCAATCCTTGCTAATCCAAACCCCAGCGCCTTGTCAGCGCCAACGAGAGTGACTGCGTGGACGTGCGAGAGACACCGGCAGCAATGACCTTCAGAGTTGGAGCTGCTGTGGCAGGTCGAGTGGTGACAAATCTTCTCGAAGTGGGCGCAAGCGCAGGCGGTTCCTGAACCTTTAGGGACCTTTACAGAGCATTTTTTGAACAGTACTCTTAGGATGACCTGACAACCTGTAGCCTGTGTTACTACCCCTTCTTGTCAAGTACTTGCAGTCCCCTGGTCGTTCAAATCCAGCATCGTCAAAGAAGGCCAGTCGGTTCACAAAATGAATATCGGAGCTTAACTAGGAAAACACCCGGGGGCATTGTTACATTGGTTTCTTTGTCTAGCGCTGAAGCTCCCTTGATGGTGTTTCCTCTTGAAGCAAGGCCCAGCACCTGTATTTGCCCACTTGGCCAAGCGCTGACAGGCGCCAAAAGCAAAGCCGTCAGAAGTGCAAGCGCCATGAAGTCCCAATAAACCAATGATTCTCAAATGCTGCCCATTCAGAAACAACGAGGGGAAAAATCAAAAGGAGTATACCAGGCATGTGTCTTTGTGCATATACGCACGCATGATTGAAACTCGGATCTTGCGCATTTGCTCACCATGTGTTGTCCCTCGGGGCGGCGTAAAAGTTGGCTCCTGTACACAGCCGGGCCGCTGAAGGTAGGAAGTATCAGAGCATGCCGGGGACAACTGTTCAAACAGCAAAAAGCCTTGCAAAAGCAACCTGTTTCTGCAGAATCTGGAGGAAAAACGATGTCTTGTGAAAAAGCGACATGCTCCGGACCCCGGAGCACCGAGGATCACTTCCACTAGGCAGTCGGGCATCCGCGATCAATCACGGCGCTCACTAGATTAGATATCCTGCCAAATCTCCTGGCACAAGTTTGGTTCTCAAGCATCACTGTGCATCAAAATGCCCAACAAAAAACACCAACAAAGGTCACAAGGCTTGCCACAAGGAAACCGGGAGCCCATGATGGTCGTGGGTTTCTCTCCTTTTGCCTGTTTCATACTGCTTCTAATTTGTTGTGCCTTTGTTCCTTAGGTGTCTTCCATCCTTTGCCATTTGTCCATTTGTCTTGTCTTCCGTTCTTCCAATTTCAAGCTGAGCTTCTCTCATGACGTCAGCATCATCTGGCGCAATGCGCTGGATGATCTGGTCCAAGGAGTTCACCTGGTTGGTTTCTCGCGGACCACGTCTCCGTTGAAGAGGCCGGCGCTGGCGCCGGAACCGGAAGATCTTGTGTAAAGCCCGCTCCACAGCCCACGCCTAGGTGAGAACCCGAATAAAACACACTAAACACACTCAATGCGGCGAAACATACGTTTTCGATATAAGCCTGGCCTTGCCATTGACCTGGACAACGCCGTCTTCCAATGAAACTGTCCTGATGCCTTTGCGCTTGTTGAGCTTGATTTGCATGCGCTTCGCTTCGAAAGCTGGCACCAACGCAGCACCGATCTCCACCTCCATCGTGGTGTCGAGCATCGAACGCACCGCCTTCGCGGCACTCTGCGCAGAATCAAGCCGTCCGAAGATCACAAGGTGGCAAGTTGCAGGGCTCCAGTTCATCTCCACACGGTGTAGCTTGCTAAGGTCAGCCACACTCTTCTTCACATCGCGCTCGAAGTCTTGAACTGAATGGAACTTTACTCTCTCCAGGTGGTAGAGGTTCTTGATTGCCCTCAAACATGCATCCAGACCTTCGTCGTCACCTGTGACTTCGACGGTCATCATGGCTTCCACATCATCCGATTCGATTTTGGGCACCTTGATGTGGACCCCGTGCTCTGCTTCTAGCTCCTTGATGTGACGCCCCTCCGTTCCGATCAGGCGGCCTCCATCTCGGATGGGGATGTCTACAGCACCCAGAACTGGTCTGGCATTGCGTTCACCAGCCGCGTCAACTCTCGGTGCATCGGCGCTGGAGCGCCTATGATTTGCTTCGTTGCCTGAATCTGAAACAGTGGAAAGAACAAAGGGTCTTCCCAGTGAAACAGTGGCAGATGCCCTGTCCATGTCAGCAAACATCTGCTCGATCATGTCCTCGTTGGTCAGCTGGATCGCTGCTGCCAATCCTGAGCTTGATGTGCATGGAGCAGGCGGCAAATCGTGACGCACAGCAGCATCAGCTATTGCAAGCTGTGGCGGGCCTTGTGCAGACCGGGCACCTCCGTCTTCAATCGCCTGAGCAGGATTGATACCTTCAATGGTCTTCAAGGCATCGTGAAGGAGGTGAATAGCAAAGTCACCACGTTTCTTCAGCTCAGCCAAAGCTAGGCTAGACTCATGGCCTTCATGGCGGCGGCCTGGGCCTCCAAACTCCTCAGGCTCGGAATCCGATTCAGCTTCTGAGCTACTGCTGTGCACAACTTGAACCTCCAGGTCAATCGGAAGCGGCGCGCCAGAGACTGCATGTTGCTCGGCCGGGGCACTGAAGAGATTGGGAATCTTGGCTTTCAGTTTCTCCAGCTCAGCTTGGCCAAGGCCTACCCCTGCTCCATGGAATCGACCATAGATGCAGCAAAGCTGCAACTTGGCAATGGGATCAGGGTGCGCTGACACAAGGCGGTCTCTGGTCTCATCAGCATCCCAGACCTGTGCATGGCAAGCGATTTCTGCCAGAATGCCTTTCAGTAGACCCTCCTCGTCTTCAGCTTGAAAGGGACAAAGGTCAAAGATGCGAGAAGAAACTTGGGCGACGGGCACGTCAGGAATCTTCAAAGCTCGTGCCACTGCTGCGTACAAAGAAATGGATCTTTGCACCTTCATGCCTGCGGGCTGTAGTTGCTTCAGCCTTCAGTCAGCCGTTTGACCCACGTTGCATGGCAAAGAAACCAAACAATTGGCATCAAGTGGCACATACGTGACATACGCTTCCTTCTTGCGTAGAAGAAATCATCAATCAAATAGAAAAAGGTTCCAATCATATATAATGGCAGCAAAGCCACCGGGCACTCAAAGCTTTCTCTGCCAAGGGCTTGTCGAGCTGCCTCAGTGGTGGCCTTCGGGCATATCTGGCATCAGTCGGCCGGGGCCTCTGCAACTGCAGATTGTCACGTGGGCGTTCCATGCCCACAACCTTAGGTGTCATTGACATCAATACACGCCAAGCGGTCATTAAAAAATGTCTTTATATCAGCATAGACCCCAAACAGCATAGTGGGCAAGAATTATTGTTGTTGCTGTTGCTGTTGCTGTTGCTGTTGCTGTTGCTGTTGCTGCTGTTGCTGCTGTTGTTGTTGTTGTTGTTCATGTTCATGTTCTTGTTCTTGCTCTTGTTCTTGTTCTTGTTGCTCTTGCTCTCGTTGTTCCTGTTGTTCTTCTTCTTCTTCTTCTTCTTCTTCGTCTTCTTCTTCGCTGTTGTTGTTGTTGTTGTTGTGGTTGTGGTTGTGGTTGTGGGCGGCCGCAGCCCCAGCCCCTGCCTTGGAACGCAACGTAAGCAGCACGACAGCAGCAGAACAACAGAAAAACCAGAGGAGGACATGAGGAGGACAACAGGGGACGAAAGGATGAGGGAAGGAAAACAGCACAAACACACCAAGAGGACAAAAAAAAGGACAAGCTGCGACCGGACAACGCCAAAAGGACAACAGGACAACATGAGAGGAGCACGCCAAGAGGAGAACAAGAGGAGAAGAGGAAGAGAGGACAAGAGAAAGACAAAACGACGACAGGAGGAGTACGACCGGAGATAGGCTGGCAGCCGCGGCGAATGAAGATCTGAAGAAGGACAACAAGAAATAGAAGAACTTGAAGAGGACAGGGCCGAAAAGATTGTGACAAGAGGAAAGGAGGAGGACATCCGGACAGGGCGACATGGTGGCCAGCTTATCTTTCCTACGAGAGAGTCCCGCAAAGTGGACAACAGGAGGACAAGGAGAGGACATCGGTTTGGGGTTGCTTCTGGGGTTGTCTTGCTGGTTGCGCGCTCGCATAGTGTATCATGCTTACACGGTGACAGGCTGCCACACGACCATGCTGTGGTACTGCGGCCTTCGCGCTTGCCGGCTGGCGCTTTCCCGAACGGCGCTTCCCGCGCACAGGCTGTCATGGTGTCATCTCTACACGCTGCCATGCCGTCATCTGGACACCAGCAGAAGGGCAACAAGGGGACAACGGGAGGATAAGGTCTGGAAGAGGACAACAGGAGGACAAGGAGAGGGCAAGACAAGGACAAAAAGAATACAACAAAAGGACAAGGACTGGAGACGGGCTAGCATCCGCGCCATGACAAACAAGAAGAGGACAACAAGAAAGCAACAGGCGGACATAGGGTTCACCGGCGCGGCCAAGCTGGACACCAGCAGAAACAAGAGGGATAAGTGGAGGACAAGAAGAAGAGGAGGACAAGAAGAGGATACGAGGAGGACAACGGGACGACAAGAAGAAAACAAGAGGAGGAAAAGAGAGGAAAAAGAGGACAACAGGAGGACAAGGTCTGGAGACCGGGTTGCAATTGCGGTGTTTGGGGAAAAGTAGGTTTTGCAGGAAATATTGGTAGCATTCTTGCCACTCAGTTGTCATATTCTGCACATCATGCAAAGTGACGGCCGTCAGAGCCTTCAGGTTCAAAAGAAGGATTTCAGGTCTGTCCCTGTGGGCATTGATAATGGCCTCGAACTCCTCCATATAGTTCTCTCCCTCAAGAATGCTCAGCTGTTTCTCCTGCAAGTCACGCATGTTCTTCGCGCGTGACCTGGGCTGCAACCAGATTGACACACATGTTACATGTTTGTCCATATCACACGCTTCGATGGGACGTCCGACCTTCAACTTAGGCTGGAACGTTTTTTCTTGGCGAAGCAAGGCTTTGGTGCATTCAGCCCCGGCATAAATCAAATCTTTCTCAAAACGCAAAGGATTGGAATCTCGCTTGGCACATCGGAGGTGGTAGAGTTTTGCACTACACTCGTGGTTACACAAGTCGCAGTTGGTCTCGTAGGGCCAGGGTTTCAAGGGCACTGCGTCAGCAAACTTCTGGGAAAAGCTGGTGCAATGGATGTGAGGCTCTGTGGCAACAAAGAATTCACAGTCATCTCGGCGCGAGGGATGGAGATTCGAATCGGCCGGCAAGCCGAGCCGACCTTTGAAGTTGCTTTCAATGGTGCAATCTTCACGCAAAAGCACGGCTGCATCAAAGTCCTGGTTTGGGGGAGCGAAAGTTGGCTCTGACAGCCAGCTGAGACATACATTCACACCATTGATTGGCATTTCACCAACAACAGAGCAATCCTAAGAAGTTGATGCTCTGCTTGCTTCGGGGCGCTAACTATGTAAAGTTTACGGTTCATTAGGGGAGAAAAAGGTGAGGACATGACTTTGAAATGATGTTGGTCAAAAATACTTGGCAAAACCACTTCGGAGCACCTCCTGGAGCATTCCTTCTGCAAGTGCTTCATCTGCCCCAGAAGGCCGTTGGAACACAACTCGCCGACGAGGTAGAGAGGCGTCCATCACTTCTTCCGTCGCTTCCTCCTTGACTTCGAGTCTCGACTCATTGGGCTGCGCCGGCGGCTGCGCCGGCGGCTGCGCCGGCGGCTGCGGTGCTTCAGCTCTTGGGCGCTTTGAAGGCCTGGACTCCAATTCAGACGGCCTGGATGGTTTGGGCGGAGAAATCCGCACACCAGCCCAGGGAGGGACCAAAGGGCAGTCATCCGAGTCGCACCCCTCAATATCCTCATTTGAACCCGTCTGCCTCTCCAACTGCTCCGGTGCTCTCGCGCTGGGTTCCACCAATCGTCTCCGCGAAGCTTGTCGTTGCAGGACGCGTCGTTTTCCCGGCTTGACCACCTTGGCCTGGCCCGCTCGGCCTGCGCCAGCAACTGGTGCCTCTCTTGGTGCGGAGCTTGTTTGGTTCAGATCTGCAAGGTGCTTCTCTCTCATCTGTTTGACCTCCTCCATGGGTTTCCTTTCTTCGAAGTACATGTAACAAAGACGGCAAATCCGCAAGGCTTCCTCCACCGATCCTGCAGCCTTCACCGAGACCTGAAAATAACCAATCTGCAACGGCGCAGATTTGGGTTGTTTGATAATCACGCGCGATTGCTTTCCATGTTGAGCCACATACTTGTAGGCATCATGGCCAAGAGGTGCATCAGCCCTGTTCGACATGCTGCGTCGCACAAAGGTATCTTGCACACCAAGGGAGGCTATGGCAGGCTGACAAGGATCGATCAGCGATGGTGTCAGTGGCCGTGTGAATGAAAAACGGTGACTGGTGCTTGATCAACACAAAACAAACTGCCCCCCCATTCAATGACCCAAGCTCGCCGTTCCGGTGCTGGACTGGGCTGCGGGACTGTGACGCAGCGAGAGATAAACTTCACACATGCTGAGTTAGTGAACGCAACAACATCAAGTAACTAACAAAGGGCATCGCTACTAGGAGCAAGAAGCTACTAGTAGCTCCTGGCCTTACTACTAGTAACAAGAAGCTACTAGGAACAACATCAATTGTCTGCGGCGAGTCAGGTGCCTTTTTTTTTGCCGGACGAAAGTGAGATCAAAGATGCCCGCAACTTTGCACAACCCCTTGCTGGGACACTGCATTTGGCCTGACTTCCTGTCCTGAGCCCAAGCTAAGCGCATTATTCCTAATTTCTAGGAACTGTCAGTGGGTGGCCAAGGCTCCTGTTTACAGCAGGCAAATCTTCTATGTGTTGTCCGTCGGCTTTTTGCCATGCATCAGCTAGCGTATCTGATAGTGACATTGCCCTTTCGAAAGGCATGATGCGAAGTGATCCCCATTGGTGTGGAAAACTACCCATCAAGAGCAAGTCTGCATTGGACAGATTGTGCTCCTAGGCCAGCAGCTGTCACAAGCAATCATGCGAGAACCTGGCGAGATACTGATCGGGACCTTTGTCATTTGCAAGTGTACTTGGAGAAACCAGGATGCGAATGTGCCTTATCTGGACCACCTCAACCCGCGAAGAATAATAAGCATGGCATCGTGAAGAACAATAATCAATAGTTGTTTTGTTGAATATGATTGATGTTTGTTGGTAAACAATTCTCATGATTCTTGGTCATTGTTGATTCATGGGTGGTCATTCATGCACTTGTGCTAAAGCAAGGGGAACTATGGGGAATTAAGGTAGCTGAATCTACCTTTCGTGATTAGGAGTTCTCAAATCTCTGCAATCAATCAACGGCGTCATCACGGCAACGTAGGCTTCGCTCTCCTCACAGTTGAAGAGGACATCGTCGGACAAGAAACCACGTTCCGAACGCATCTGCACCCGGTTCACCCAACCTTTCGCTCCATCGCTACTAGTTAGCTTCTTGTTCCTAGTTGTAAGGCCAGAAGCCCCGTTCGTAGCGTCCTTGCTCCTAGTAGGGATGCCAGGAGCCCCGTTCGTAGCGAACATACTAAAACAGGCGATGCTTCGAGTCGAGTTTTAGATTTATCCATCGCGTTGCCACCCCAACCGAAGAACATCTTTCACCTATGCGCTGTGGAGGTGGGGACATGGACACATGGGTGACTTGGGTATTGGGCGTGAGACCACATCTGCAACTGGTGCACATGCCTTTCCTTTTGGGTCTGGAAGCCGCAACGCTGCGCCGGTCACGCGATTCAGAATTCGCTCCACTAGCCTTCACCACCCTACTTGTCAGTGCCCGTCTTGATGTTGATCATGTTGGGCTGCTATCCCAGTGTCACGAATCACAAGGCTCAGGTGTTCATTTTGAGAACGGACTTTCAAAACAGCCTGCCGGTTCACTCTGAAAAGTCAGGCAGCGCACTTCACTGCGAAACCAGCCACACTCCCCTGCTACTTAGTGCCAGGGGTAGCAGCTGGTTCTGCCACAGAGCATGCTGCAAGCCCTGCAAGCAGCAGGCCCAGGCCGATGTATAAATGGTGCGCCCAACTCCACGTCTCAACGCTCGATTCAGTGTGCCGGCGTTTTAAGTCCTTTCAGAACCTTTCGATTTTCGTTCAGGTGAAACGGTCTCAGGCATTTCTGCACAGCCATATCCAAGCGCTTCATCGGGATCCTCGATGCAAAGGAGTTCAAGGCTACCTCAGGCTATCCACATGACAGCCTTGCCTTGCCCCTCTCGAAGTGGTCGCAAGCGACTGGATTGGTCTTTGCCCAGTCCAGCAAGGTCCGAAACCTTGATCCAAATCATTAGAATGAAATTAAATTAACTAATAGCTTCTTGTTACTAGAAGCGATGCACTTGTTTCTAATAGCTTTTTTTATTACCAGTAAGGCACTTGTTACTACTAGCGAGGCACTTGTTAATGACTAGCAAATTGTTTACTTCTGGGAAATGGTTTGTATGACAAATCTTGGCTCCTTCATGCTCCTTCATTCCACTATGCAGCAAAGCCACTTTTCTTGCCTTCCCCTGCTCAAGGCAAACACCGTCCATTTAGTGTAGGCCACATCCTGCAGTTGCACGACGCATATTCGCCAACAAGTGGAACACCCTGAGGAATTCTTCAGGGGGGCCTTGCAAAATTTCTGGGTGTGGTGTTCCAAAGCCGCGCAACATTTCGAAGAGCATCTTCAGCTTGCTGTTTAACTTGGGTCTATGGCCTCCACCCTAGTAGCGATGGCCTCCAACCCAAAAGCCATGGCCTCCAACCTACTAGCGATGGCCTCCACCCAACTTGAGTCTTCAAAACACACCCGACAAGGAAACCTACCCATTACTACATGCTGCCACCGCCTTCTGCCCTTCAGCTGCTTTGCGAGAGGCATCCAAGGCATCCAACTGAGGGCAGGCAGGACGGTCAAAGTCGGCATCCACTCAGGACTTCAGCTCTGCACTTCTTCGGTCCCTCCGGTGTGCACCTCACTCAACTCCGCCTCCTTTAAGGCCACCAAGCCCCCGCCCAGCGCTAGCACACGCTGGGCTCGGGTGACCTGCGTCGTGCGGACGAGCACGTCGTGCCAGGCAGGTCCCACCGAGCCTTGATTGCTGCGCGGCCAAGGAGAACAAATTGCGCCCGTTCAGGCGGCAGATCCCTGGAAGTCAATGGAGCCAACAAAAAAATCAGCTCAAATGATGCCATTGCTAGTAGGTTGGAGGTCATCGCTCTTAGGTTGGAGGCCATCGCTCTTAGGTTGGAGGCCATTGCTAGTAGGTTGGAGGCCATCACTAGTAGGTTGGAGGCCATTGCTAGTAGGTTGGAGGTCATCGCTCTTAGGTTAGAGGCCATTGCTACTATAGGTT